CAAGGGGAAAAAAAGAGAATAAGCAAGCTCATGATTTTCAGATTGCAGTCTTAAGACTTAAGGGGAGAATATTCTCAGCACAGGGAATAGCAAGTCCAAACATCCAGAGACCAGAGAGCAAGGTGTCTTTGGAAACTTGCAAATGCACTACAACCTGGTCATCGTACAGAATGAGAGTCAAGGGCTAGAGGGGAAGGTCATGCTGGTGGGGGGAGGCAGGGAAGCAGCACAAGTGGGGTGCGGCCTTGTGTACAGTTCAAGAAAGGCTGGACCTCATGGAGGTGGGGAGCAGCCAGGGAGCTGTGGGATTTGGGGCAGAACCTCATAGCTCTCCCACTACTGCTGCCTTTCCCTTCCTCTGTCACCGGTCATGCTTGCTACTTACTGTTCCTGCAAGGACAAGGTTGTTCTTGCCTCATGCTTTTGCACTTGCCATGCATTCTGCCTAGCATGTGCTGGAAAGATTATTCTGGTGCATGTGCTTCCTAAATGAGAGTGGGAGAGCCTAGAAATGGCGATGGAATAGGAGTCCCAGGCTGTGGTCTAGGAGGGAGGAGACGTGGGTCTGCATTGCAGGAGTGGCAAGGTGGACTGTGTGAGATTTTCAGGAGGCAGACTTGACACTGTTTGTCACGGGATGGACTTGGGAGGCAAGGATGGTACCTCAGGCCATTGATGTTCAAACYGGGGAGCACAGCAGCAGGGTGCAGGCTAATTCCCAGCAGTCCACCCTCATGGTGTGGTGGGACCTCCCTGCCTTGTTGGAACATGAGCTGTCTGGATTTGCTCACCAAATTGTTGGGAATAAATCTTATAGATTCCAGCTGCAAACCGTAGCCTTACTGATGTCTAACTGTAACATTTATGACTATGTGCCTTAGGCTTTCTGTAAACTAATACATAATAACATGCTTATTTGTGAGCATAATAGAATAAATGAAACAAAAATCAGAGTAAGCTACCAAAATGATGATGATCGAGTAATTCTTATTAAGAACCATTTAACGTATGGTGCAGGTTTCCATATGTAAGTTCCCTTTAACAAACTCATGGTAACTCCTATGCCCCTGAATAGAGATGCTTAACTCTTTGCGATTGTTAAAACCCTAAGACCCAGACATTTCCAAGTAGGGCCCCCACTGAACACTGGACTCCTGCCGCCTGGAGCTATTCTGTTTACATTTGCTACTATAGAGATTTGGTTTGTTTCCGAAAGATGCATTTTAACATTTGTGTGGTGAGCCACATTTGTTATATTTGAACCATGTGTGACGCAAGGGAGAAGGGTAACCACTTGGCTCAAAGGGGGAAGGGTGAGTATTTGGGTTAGCAGAGTACTTCCTGCCAATTTTAAATGAGCTGGTTTGATAGTTAAAGAAATAAAAAGTGCGCGTGTGTGTATGTGTGTGTATGTGTGTGTGTACATATACAAACACATACATGTGTGTATTTTTATGTACTCAAAAGAATAACATGGAGCTGGGTGTGGTGGTACATACTTGTAATCCCAGCAACTCAGGAGGCTGAGGCAGAAGAATCCCAAGTTTGAGGCCAACCTCAGCAACTTAGTGAGGCCCTAAGCAACTTAGCAAGATCCTGTCTTTAAATAAAAAATTAAAAAAGGGGGGCTGGGGATGTAGCTCAGTGGTAAAGCACCCCTGGGTTAAATCCCCAGTACCACAAAGAAGAAAGAAAAATAATAAGTTAATGTGGAAATAAAGCTGATTAAACTTGACAGTGCTGTTTTTCAATCTTAAACATAAAGGAACAATACCATTTAAGACTCTGCATGGGTGTCACTTTGGAATTGATAATACATAACTTTCAACTGACCTTGAAGTGCTTCTAGGACCAGAGGTCATTCGTGTCTTAATCAGTTATATAAATTATGAGAAGCCAGAGARTGGGAAAGGACTTCACTAAATAGTAGAGTGATTCCAAAATTAATAACACCAATGTAAAACTAAAGTCCAGAGTGATTTGTCTATGACCCACAATGAGTTCATTCCTTCATTCAATAAACATATATTTAGTCTGTGTTATTTAGATGTACTAGTTATCTATTATTGTGTAACAAATTATCCCAAAACTTAGTAACTTAAAGAAGCCCACATTTATTTTCTCATATAGTCTATGAGTTACAAAATCTGGCTCTGATTTAGCTAGGCCCTCTATATCAAGGTGTCTCACTAAGCTACAGTCAATGTGTTTGCCAGAGATGGAGTCTCACCTGATAGCCCAACTGGAGAAAGACCCGCTTTCCAGTTTATACAGTGGTCAGTAGAATTCAATTCTTTGTGGACTGTTGGACTGAAAGTCTCAGTTCCATGCTGGCTGTTAGCTGAAGGCCACTCTCAGTTCCTTGCCAGATAGCCTCATGGTGTATTGCTTTGTTCAGGTATAGAAACTGAGAAGGCAATAGAGTCTGCTAACAAGACAAGTCAGTCTTCTGTAACCTATCAAAGAAGTGATAGCCCATCAATGTTGCCATCTTCTGTTGGTCAGAAGCAAGTCACTGGTCCCACCCACAGTCAAGGGGAGGGTTTGAACATTAGGAGGTAGGGACCTGTCTTAGGCAGTTTAGGCTGCTTATAGTGAGATACCACAGACTAGGTGGATTAGATAGTGGACATTTATTTCTCACAGTTAGAGAGGCTTGGAAGTTCAGGGTCAAGGTGTCCAATGATTCAGTGTTTGGCAAGGCCCCCCTCTTCCTGGTGTGTTGACAGCCATCTTTGGCTGTTCCCATATATGGTGAAAAGAGAGAGGGCTTTGGACTTGACCTCTTCATTTAAGGGCATTTAATCCCATTGTGGGGACTCCACCCTTATGACCTCATCTAACCCAGCTTATCTCCCAAGGGCCCTTCCTGCACGGACCATCACACTGGGGAGTCAGGCTTCCACTTACACATTCGAGGGTGGTAAAAGAGAAAAACATATTTTTCCTATGTATTCACACACTTCACTTCTGACAACAGATGTGTCTGTTTTTCCCAAGTCAGCCACACCCTACCTGCCTTCAGTTACCACTCAATCTCATCAGGTGATTAATTCATGATTGGGTTAAGGCTCTCACAACCCAGTCATTTCCCTTCTGAACCCTCTTGCATTTTCTCACATTTGAGCTTTTGGGGGACACCTCACATCCAAACCATAACAGCATGATTATTAGCTCCAGTCTCCCCTTTCTGGAGGAGGGGGATGGGACTGAAGGTTGCAGTCTTACCACGGCTTGGTCTTCCTACTGGTCAGCCCATCCTGAGGCTGTTCAGGAGCCCACCAAGAGCTGCCTCATTAGAACAAAAGATGCTCCAATCCACCTGTGAAATTCCAAGGGATTGGGAGCACTGTGGAAGGAACCAGGGGCAGAAACCAAATGCATATTTCTTATTACGTCATCAGATATACAAACATCTAGTCCATGGCAGGATCATTGAAGTCTATCTTTGAAAGTTGTCTACCACATTTGGTACCTTTATTCTCAGATTCAGCTTTTTAATTTTTTAAAAATTTGTTCTAATTAGTTATACATGACCACCTTTTTAAAAATATCACTTTTTTTTAGTTGTAGATGGATACATTACCTTTATTTTATTTATTTATTTTTAATGTGGTGCTAAGGATCAAGTCCAGTGCCTCACATGTGCTAGGCAAGCGCTCTACCACTGAGCCACGACCCCAGCCCTCAGATATAGCTTTTTTACTAGACCAAACCATCTGATGTGCATTTGTGAAACACAACTTTGTGCTCACTGTGGTAGGCTGAATAATGACCCCCCCAAAGATGTCCATGTTCTAAGTCCCCCGAGTCTGTGAATATATGACCTTAGATGGCATAAGGGACTCTGCTGCTGTGTTTAAGGATTTTGCAGTGGAGAAATTATCCTGGATTATCCTGGGTCTAATATAATCATGTTGTCCTTACAACAATGAGAGGCAGAATCTGAGCTTAAGAAGGAGGGAAGGAAGGTGATGACGGCCCCAGAGAGGAATGGTGTAGCCATCAGCCAGGAGATAGGGGCAGCTGCTAGGACATGGGCACGGCAAGGAACAGGTTCTACCTTGGAGCCTCCAAGAAGGACTCAGCTCTGCTGACACCTGATGCTAGCCTGATATTACCCATCTAGTACTTCTGACCCCTAATGGAAAGATAGTAAGTGTATGTTGTTATAAGCTAGTAGGTTTGTGGTAATTTTGTCCCAGCAGCAGTAAGAAATGTATTCACTCACCAAAAGATCTCAGGGAATCTCCACCAATGGCAGTTTTTTTTTTTTTTTTTTTTTTTTTTTTTTGGTGGGGTGTTCCAGGACACTTGACCACTGAGCCACATCCCCACTTAGTGCCTCCCTTTTGCTGAGGCTGGCTTTGAACTCACAATCCTCCTGCCCCAGAGGCCTCCCGAGCCACTAAGATTACAGATGTGTGCCACCACACCCAGCCCTCTCAATACTGATAAGGTTTAAAAAACATCGTAGGGCTGGAGTTGTGGCTCAATGGTAGAGCACTTGTCTAGCATGCATGAGGCACTGGGTTCAATCCTCAACATCACATAAAAGTAAATTTTAAAAGTTATCAAGTCCATCTTCAACTAAAAATTAAAAAAAAAATTTTTTTAAAGGGCTGGGTTTGTGGCTCAGTGGTAGAACACTTGCCTGCACATGTGAGGCATTGGGGTCCATCCTCAGCTCCACATAAAAATAAATAAATAAAATAAAGGTATTGTGTCCATCTACAACTAAAAAAAAGTATTTWAAAAAAGCATCTTAGAGTTTGTTTAAGAATCTCATATATTCTTCAGAATAAGACGAAAACATGGTTTTTAGCATAAAATAGAGAGGCTTCCATTTTTAAAGCTGCTGCTAGTTTATTTATACTTCAGGAGTGGAAATATTGGCTGAGATAAAAGTACCTGGCACAGTTTGCTTTTTCTTCTCAGTGATTCACAGCCAGATGTTGCAAATTTTTTTTCTTTTTCTTCTTCTCCCATCCCCTCTCTAGTGCCTGGAAACCTTGGCTGCTACCAGGATCATGGAAATCCACCTCCTCTAACTGGCACCAGTAAAACATCCAACAAACTTACCATACAAACCTGCATCAGTTTTTGCCGGAGTCAGAGGTATAAGGTAATGATCCTGTGGCTGTGTGACTGTAGGAAAAAAATAGACAAAAGTGCATTTTGCTGAGCTGACTTGAAAATATGTACAACTTTAGCACAAAACAAAACCTGTCAAACCGTATAGCTCTACTTTTCTGCCAAGGAAWAATGAAAGGAGGAATGGACTTGATTCAGGAGTGTGAGGCAGCACTTTTGTTTAGAGACTGGGAAAAGAGGAGAGGAAAATCCCCAACAGCTGCTTCCCCGTGTGACCTCTGACAGAGTTAGGTATCCGCTCATGGGTGTTATGCAGGGACATCAATGGCTTCACAGAGAATCTGAGAATAATAAGACAAGGTCATGGTTTACTTCCTAGCCTGTTCACCAGTCCAGAATATTTTCTCTTCTTCCTATCCATTCCTTTATCTGAAATTCATCTCTTAATCATTGAAGTTCAATAATACTACTGTTTGTTACATCTGAAAGAGAGAAAAAAATCCATTTCCTTTCCCTCCCTTCCTCCCTCCCTCTCTTTTTTTCCAGTTCAGTCTAAAGGCCACTAAACAGACTCAAGGGAAGAGGATAGCCTGACTAGGTTCAGGGCCTATGTGAGGCAGGTAGCAAGGTATTTGGCTCAACCTCATCAAGTGATTGGCTGCTTGCATAGAGCTTGAGCATGTAAATGAACAGATCTAGGATAATGGGAGCCAGGTTTCTTCTTGTTAGAGAAGGGAGTTACAAATGTGGAAGTCAGTGAAACAGGAACAAAACCTATAGTGTTGGATAGGGATTGGATTAGAATAGGGCATGGTTTTTGATATATAGAGAGTGAATATAGAAAAAAATATAAGTGTGTATATGTGTGTGTGCGTTGTATGTGTGTATTTATATACATCACATATAACATACAACACGCACACACACACACACACACACCTATATGCTTTGTTCACTGAAGAGCCTGCAAGCAGTGACATATCAATAGCAGAGAATACACTGAACACCTAAATTTTGGTTTCTAAATACTATTCTCCACTAAAAAGAAGCATCTTGGAGAAAATTACTGATTATAGTGTTGATTCTGAGAAAGTACAAGATGAACCTGAAACATCTTATGCAGGAAAATCAAAAGGATACAGGAGCCACTTAAAGGGGCTTCTACCAGCCAAATCTGGCATAATTTGTGCTTCTAACCAAATAATGATAGTAATAAATGTACCCCATTTTATAAATAAGAATCTGCAAACCCACACTAATGGATGAATGAATTAATGCAAGAATGAAGAAAATTATTCCTTACTAGAGAATGTAAATTAATAAATATAAAGAAATGTTGGAATTAGAAAAATCACCATTTGGCAACCATCACAGTAATAATCAACTCAGAAAACAAGTATGAAGGTATGTAAATATTCCAAATCCTCATCTACTAATGAATAAATATTTACATAGCCACAAGAATCTACCTACAAAATACTTACTAATTATACAGAGAAAACAATTGATTTTACTAGGGAGAAAACTGTTTTATGCTATCTTACTCGTGGTCAAAGTTAGTCAAACAAGTGATATCACAAAAACTAGACATTGTATCCCACCTTACAGGGCAAGAGCTGTGGTGATACTTCTACCAAAAATGGTTAGAAGGAAATATCAAAACAAAGTACATTCTACAAAAATTTTGAAATCACAAGGCTCAAGAAAATACTGATAACTAATTATTCAATAAAGTTAAGTAGTTGATAAAGAGATTGTGTGGCCCACAAAGCCAAAAAGATTTGTCATCTGACCTTTTATAGGAAACGTTTTCCAACTCCTGCTGTAGATCAGTGGAATCTAAGAGTCCAGAAATAGATCTGCACTAATGCGGACAATTGATTTTTGACAGAGGTGCCAAGGTAATTCAGTAGGGGAAAGGATTTTCAACAAATGCTTCTGCAGAAACACTGGGACTCTTCCCCCCCCACCCCCCGTACCAGGGATTAACCCCATGGATAGCCACATCCCCAGCCCTTTTTTATTTTTTGTTTTAAGACAGGGTCTTGCTAAGTTGCTCAGGGCCTCGCTAAGTTGCTGAGGCTGGCTTTGAGCTTGTGATCTTCCTGCCTGTGCCTCTCAAGTGGCTGGGATTACAGGTATGTGCCACCACATCCAGCTAATACTGGGACTCTTTGTGAAGAAAAATGAACCTTTATCCTTGCATAATCATAGACAAAAATTAACCTAAAATTATATGACTGAAAAAAGTCCTATGGCTTAAGAATGGATGTATAGACCAGTAGAATAGAATTGAGAGTCCAGAAATAAACCTACATGTTAATGATCAATTGGAAAATAATTTTTTTTTCTGTGCTGGGGATAGAACCCAGAGGCACTATGCTTACTAGGGAAACATTCTACCACTGAGCTATACCCCTATCCCTGGTCAATTAATTTTCAACCAGAGAACTAAGATCAGTTGATGAGGAGAGAAGAATCTTTTCAAGAAGTAGTACTTGAACAACTGGAGGTCCATACGCAAAAGAATGAGTTAGGACTCTATTGCACACATCTAAAATAGATCAAAAACCCAAATGTAATTAAAACTATAAAACTGTTATAAGGAAGCATAGGTATAAATATGCCTGACCTGGGATTAGGCAATAGTTTCTTAGTTATGATACCAAAAGTACAAGTAAGCAAAGAAAAATAGAAAAATTGGACTTCCTCAAAATTAGGGTTAAGGTTAGGATTACTTTTTATGACACTAATAACAAAGTGAAAAAGCRACTTATAGAATGAGAGAAGATATTTGCAAATCATATATCTGATGAGTCTAGTGGTTAAAATGTATAAAGAACTCTCACAATTAAAATCTGAAAAGACAGTCCAGGGCTGGGGCTGGGGCTCACTGGTAGAGTGCTTGCATAAAAAATGCTATATATATATATATATATATATATATATATATATATATATATATATATATATATAGAGAGAGAGAGAGAGAGAGAGAGAGAGAGAGAGAGAGACGGTCTAGCAGTCCAGCCAGGCCTAGTGGAACACACCTGTAATCCCAGCAACTCAGGAGGCTGAGGTAGGAGAACAGAGTTCAAGGCCAATTTGGGCAACTTAGACCCATCTAAAAATAAGGCGGGGAGGTGGGGTGCCAGGGATGTAGCTCAGTTATAAAACACTCCTAGTTTTAATCCTTAGGACCAAAAAGGAAAAAAGACAATACAGCTTAAAAAATGGGCATGCGCTGTGGCACACTCCTCTCATTCTAGTGGGCTTGGGAGGCTAAGGCAAGAGGATCGAGAGTTCAAAGCCAGCCTCAGCAACAGCAAGGCGCTAAGCAATTCAGTGAGACCCTGTCTCTAAAAAAAATAAAAAATAGGGCTGGGGATGTGGCTCAGTGTTGAATTCCTTTGAGTTCAATCCCTGGTACCAAAAAAAAAAAAAAAAAAGGTCAAAGAACTTGAATAGATATTTCTCTATAGGAGATGTTCAGTGTCATTAGTCTTTAGGGAAATGCAAATCAAAATCACAAGAGATACACTTGATACAACTAGATTGGCTATAATTAAGGACAATAACAAGTGTTGGTGGGTATGTGGAAAAATTAGGACCTTCATATGTTGCTGGTGGAAATGTGAAATAGTGCAGCTGCTGTGGAAAAGTCAAGCAGTTCCTCTAAAAGTTAAAGCAAAATTTTCTCATGACCCAGCAATTCTGCTTCTAGGCATATACCCAAGAGAGTTGAAGACACATGTTCACACACAAAAAATCATACACAGATGTTGATTGTAGCATTATTCATAAAAAGATAGAAACAACCACTCGAATGAACATCAACTGATGAATATTGGGTAAATAAAATATGAAATATATATACAATAAAACATTACTCAGGCAGTATAAAGAAATGACATACTGATGTTTGCTACAACATGGGTGTACCTTGAAATGCTATGCTAAATGAAATAAGCCAGAGACAAAAGGCCACATGTTATGTAATTTCATTTATATGAAACGTACAGAACAGGCAAACCCCTAGGGACAGAAAGTAGGTTAGTCATTGCCAGAGGGTGTGAGATGGGAGGAATCAGAACTAATTGAAATCAGTACAGAGACTCTTTGGGGTGTTAAATGTTCTAGAATTAGATAGTGATGATGGTTGAACAATATTGAATATACTAACAACTACCTAAATGTACACTTTAAAATGGTAAATTTTATGTAATGTGAATTATATTTCAGTTTTTAAAAAGAGCTAAAACAACTAAACTGCTAGGGGAGAAAATGTAGAAAATCTTACATTGGGTTAGATAAAGATTTCTTAAATAGAAGACAGAACCACAAATAAGCAAAATTCAATAAATTGGACTTATCAGTATTAACAATGGAATCTTAAGAGTCCAGAAAATGGAACAAAGTTAAGAAAATGGAACACAAGCCACAGGAGAAAGCAGTTGCCAAATCTCTGTATCTGATAAAGGACTTATATATAGAATATATAAAGAATCTAACAACACAATAAGAAAATTCAGTTTAAAATGGACAACATGTTTGAACAGATGTTTCATCAAAAAATGATATATGGCTAGTCAATAAACACATTTAAAAAGATGTTTAGCATCACTAGTTCTCAGGGAAATACTAAAAGAACTAAGAATTGATAAGAATGTGGAGCAAGTAGAAGTCTTATAAACTACTGTTAGGGCCAGGCACAGTGGCAGACACTATGAACCAAGAGGCTCAGGAGGCTGAGACAGGAGGATCACAAGTACAAGGCCAGCCTCAGCAACTTAGCAAGGCCTTGAGCAACTTTGTGAGACTCCCATCTCAAAAAATCAAAAAGATGGGGTTGGGTCAGTGGTAGAGCACTTGCCTAACATGTGTGAGACACTGGGTTTGATTCTCAGCACTGCATATAAGTAAGTGAATAAAATAAAGGTCTATCAACATCTAAAAAAATATTTTTAAAAAATCAAAAAGGCTAGGGTTGTAGCTCAGTGGTATATTGCCCCTGGGTTAAATCCCTAGTACCCCACCCCCAAAAAATAAAAAACATAAACTATTGGTAGGAATGTAAAATGGTACAACCTCTTTGGAGAAAGTTTCTTATAAAGTTAAATATATACCTACCTTACTATTCAGCAGTACCACACCTGGATATTTACCCAAGATAAATGAAAAGCTATGTTCATAGAGACTTAATCATTAATATTAATAATAGTATTATTCATAATAATACCAACCTATAAATAACCCAAATGTCTATTAACTAATGGATAGATAGACAAATTGTGGTATTGTATATCCATGCTGTGGACCACTACTCAATGATAAAAAGAAAAAATATACCTGCCAACCTGAATAAGTCTCTAGAACATCATGCTATTGAAAGAATTTTAGCACAAAAGACTTTATATTGAGCAAATATATATTGGGTCCTAGATCTAAATCTAAAATGTAAAACTACAAAAGTTTTAGAAGAAAATCTTTTTTTTATAGAATACTTTTTTTAAAAAGTTTTTATTTATTTTTGTGTGGTACTAGGGATTGAACTCAAGGTCTCATACAAGCTAGGCAATCTCTCTACCACTGAGCTACAGCCCCAGCCCCAGGAGAAAAAAAAAAATTTTTAAATTTTTCTTAGTTATTTATGGACACAATGACTTTATTTTGTCTATTCATTTTTATGTGGTGCTGAGGATCGAACCCAGTGTCTCACATGTGCAAGGCAAGTGCTCTGCCACTGAGCCACAACCCAGCCCCAGGAGAAAATTTTTGACCTAGATTTAACCAAAAAGTGCTTAGGCATGATACTAAAAGCAAGACATGTAAGAAAAAGAACTGATAAATTTTAATTTTAACTTTATCAAAATTAAAAAMTTTAGCTCTGTAAAAAATACTATTATGAAAACAAAAAGACGAACTACAACCTGGAAGAATATATTTAGAAATAATTTATAACCAGAATGTGTAAAAAAGCAAACAAACACACACTCAACAACTATTAAAACTAAGTAGTGGGCTGGGGTCGTGGCTCAGTGGTAGAGCATTCGCCTAGCACATGTGAGGCCCTGGGTTCGAGCCTCAGCACCACATAAAAAATAAATAAATAAAAAAAATATTCTTAAAAAAAAAAACAAGTAGTAAAAAGCTAAACAATACAGTTTAAAAATGAGCAAAACCTAGATAGATAACTTCACAAAAGAGGATATAGGGATGGCAAATAATCATATGAAAAGATACTTAATATCACTGCCTTTAAAGCCATGCAAATGAAGACCACAGTGAGACACCATTACACAGGTATAGAATGGCTACAATGAAATAGACAATAAAAAATGCTGACAAGCAAATGGATTTGTGCAAACAAATAATTGCATACATAATTATTGCAAATGCAAAATGGTAGTCATTCTGGAAACATTTGGCAGTTTTTTTAAAAAAAGTTAAATGTAGGGGTGGGGTTGCGGCTCAGTGGTAAAGCGCTTGCCTTGCACGTCCAAGATGCTGGGTTCAAGCCTCAGCACCATGTAAAAAATAAATAAATAAAATGAAGGTATTGTGATCCAGCAATCTTATTCCTACTTATTACCTTAGAGAAATGAAAATCTATACAGATGTTTATAGCAATTCTATTCAAAGTCATGAAAAACTAGAAGTAATCCAATAGATGAATTAACTATGGCAAATCTATGCAACAGACTCTGTCAGCAATAAAAAAGAGTGAACTTTTGATACCTTTACCAATTTGGATGAACCTTGAACACATGCTGAGTGAGAAAAGCCAGTCTTAAAAGTGTATGTTCTGTATGATTCCGTTTTATTACATTTTTCAAAAAGACAGAACCAATAGTAGAAAACTGGTTGTCAGTGATTGTGGGAGGGGAAGGGTCTTCTATAGCAGTGGTACAAAAAAACTTACTGGGATGGTGCAACTGTTCTGTACTGGTGTTTGCACAAATCCGTGCAAATATTGAAATGTATAGGACTGTCTACCAAAATACTACATAGTAATATAAAAGATTGAATGAAAAGTTTAACTGGGGCCTATAATGAGCTTACCTGGCACAGGGTAAACAATATGTTCAATGGTTATTATTATCAATGTTTCAAATTTATGGGATTTTCTCCACTTTAAAGCATAATTAAATACAGTAGAAATGCCAACATTCAAAAGGATACCCATTGACGGGGAGATAGGCTGTTGGTCTATGGTGGTGTGCAGCTACTAGTCAGCTTGGGATTAAGAGAGGGGCCAGGAGAGGTGGCAGGGGAAGGGTAGCCTGGGAAGATGAGGATGATTGCTGGGGCCGACCCTGCCAGGTTCCTCCGGGCCACCTGACACCGATGATAATGCTGCCCGTGTGCTGCTTCTCTGTTGTGGCAGTTTGCCGGCATGGAGTCAGGCTATGCCTGCTTCTGTGGGAACAATCCTGATTACTGGAAGTATGGGGAGGCAGCCAGCACCGAGTGCAACAGCGTCTGCTTCGGGGATCACAGCCAGCCCTGTGGTGGTGACGGCAGGATCATCCTCTTTGACAGTAAGTATGCCTTGCACCCATCACTGCCCAAGGCACAGTAACGCTTGGACCAGGGCAGCAAACCTGCCCTCTCTTCCATGGATCCATTCGTTCACTTGTCAGTGCCATAGGCCAGGCACTGCCCAGGCCCTGGGAATACAGCATGTAACATTCAGACTCAGCCCCTGCCCTCTAGAAGGGAGGACAGACGGTTGACAAGTGATCCACTACTCATGCTGAGCACTGTGAGGTGGCGTGGCCCATTGTGAGCTGCTTAGAAAAACCTGGAAGAAATAACCTTTCCAGTTTTACATTACTTGCCGTGGCTCACTCTGCCATGCGTCTAGTGAGAAAACAGGAGCAGAGTGTATGGATTTGCTTCTTCTTTTTTTTACCCTAAATTGAATGCAATGTTAATTCAAAGAGGGAGGATGGAAAATGGACATTAAGTGTTGATAGTGATATGGAGAAATCAGCCCCTTCTACATCACTGATGGAAATGTAAAATGATGCAGCTGCTTTAGAAAGCAATCTGGCAGGACCTCAAAATGTGGGACATAGCCAGGAGGGCATGGTGGCACAGACCTTTAATCCCAGTAATGCAGCAATGCAGGAGACTAAGGCAGGAATAGCGCCAGTTCTAGGCCAGACTCAGCAACCTAGGGAAACAACTGTCTCAAAATGAAATTTTAAAAATGGCTGAGGATGGAGCTGGGAGCACATCCCCGGCCCCCATTTAACCCATTTTCATTGAGCTCCAGCTATATGTCAGATAAAGTTATATTTTTGTGGTATAATATCTTTACTAGAGGTATCAAATAGAGACAGTCTGTCTTAAAGTGAGCGATTTAGCAAGTATCGCCTTTCATACTGAAAGTATATCTACAAGGTAGTTAATACTGGTATACAAATATGCACTAAAATGAATTAATTATAATGAAAATAATTACTATTTATGGAGTGCTGGCTGTGTGCTAGACTTGAATCTGAGTGTTTTTTTAATATTTTGTGTTATTAAATTGTCCCAACAACCCTGTTGATAAGAAAACTAGAATCAAAATATGAAGTAAATTACTTAAGCTAATGAATGCCAGAGCCAAGATTCAGATTGTTTTTAGTCACTAGAATCCCTATTATTAACAGTAATAAAATAGGTCATAATAACTGATCCATTTTCATGCTTTAAAAATATGTGAACAGGCCAGGTGTGGTGTACACCTGTCATCCCAACCAGGGCAATTTAGCAAGACTGTATATCAAAAATAATAAGAGAAAGGGGCTGGGGACATTTCTGGTTTAAAAAAAAATTTTTTTTTAATTAAAAAAAAAATTCCCAGGTGTTCTGGTTATTTTCAGAGTGGCCTCTCAGCTCTGCAAAAGCTGCCCATCTCAGACTGCATCTACCCAAGGATTGAGAAGGGTTGACTATATCAAATGACCAGCATTAGGTTGTGTGTGTGTGTGTGGTCATTTGACATAGTCACATAGATGCTTTTTGTTTTGTTTTGTTTTTTACTTTGTTTACCTTCTGTGTTTCATTTTGAATAATTTCTATCGATACCTATCTTCAAATTTATTCTTTCCCTAGCTCTGTCTAGTTTGCTGATGAGCCCATCAAAGGAATGCTTCATTTCTGATATTGTTTTACTTCTACCATTTATATTTGCCTCTTTTTTATAGTTTCCGTATCTCTGCTGAAATTTCCAGTTCTATTTTTTCACTAGATACTAACTGCATCCATCGTGTAGTCTCTGTGTCTGACAGTTCCAGCATCTGGGTCATTAGCAAGTCTGGTTCTGTGGTTGGTTTTATCTCTTTTTTTGCGGTGGGGGGGGGGAGCAGTGTGGTGCTGGGGATTGAACTTGAGGGCACTCCACCACTGAGCCCCACCCCCAGCCCTACTTTGTGTTTTATTTAGAGCCAGGGTCTCACTGAGTTGCTTAGTGCCTCGCTTTTGCTGAGGCTGGCTCAGCCTCCCACTCTGCTGGGATTACAGGTGTGCGCCCTGGCCCCGCTGGCTTTCTCTCCTAACAGTGAGTTTTATCCACCCCTTTCTATGACGCTAGGGGCAGTAGCCTTTTCACCTGGGCTGGCCTGCTTAGTGTGCCAATTAAACCAAACTGCCAGCAGGGGTGCCAGGCTTGGGTTTTGTTGTTCTTGCATCGCTCTCAATGTACACGAAGCTTCAGAGTCCTCTGGTGCCGGCTGCTGCTATTACCTGTGCTTAGTGTGGAGCCTGAGGTGCCAGTGGGTTTGCTCAGTGTGCTTTTCCCATCGTCAGCACTGAGCAGTCCCCTCTGTGTCACAGAGGGGCTCTTTCTCCACTTTCTTTTCCTTCCTCAGAGGTGACTCTGGTGCCTGTAACTTGGTGCTGTGCTCTTGGGGGAGGTCAGAGGAGCTTCCTAGTCTCCCTGCCCCATCCTCAGGACATGATACTGAGCTGCAGGAGGGAGGCCTTTTCAGTGTTCCTGCACACCTGTTCTCTCCCTGGACTCCAAACACTGTCTTGGTTTGTGGTGGACCTTGGGAGTTTCCCGCCTGTCCCCAGGCGTGGCAGACCTCTGCTTTGCTGGATCCTGGGCCCAAGAGGCTCAAGGCAACCAGAGGCTAATGCCTTTGCTTCTGCTTTCCCTAGAGCAGTGGATTCTTTGCCTGGTTATTTGGCAAGAGGAAGGAGGGGTTTTGCATCTATCCTTCTCAAATGAGCCAGGAGCAGGAGGGCTTGCTGCCCTCACCAGCATCGGAAAGCCTTTGCATCCTTTGAGAGGAGGTAAAGGATGCAAGTACTGTTTCATGCTTGTCTCTCAGTGGCAGCCTGTCACCTCCTGCACACCTTTGCCACCAAGGGGCACGCTGACTTGCTGCCTAATCCCAGTCACTCCTCACAGCATTTGATGGAGGCCTGTGCAGAAGAGCCTGCAACAGAATGTGTCTGGGGCTCACGGCTGCCCTCAATTGAAAGGGAAACCCATACTCAGTCTTTAAGAATTTGTTAAAATTCGGGCCTGGGGATTTAGCTCGGTGTTGGAGCACTTGTGAGGCACTGGGTTCAAGCCTCAGCACCACATTAAAAAATAAACAAAATAAAGATATTGTGTCCATCTGCAACTAATATATACATACTTTTTTTTTTTTTTAAAGAATTTGTTAAGGGCTGGGGTTGTAGCTCAGTGGTAGAGCACTTGCCTGGCATGTGTGAGGCACTGGGTTTGAGTCTCAGCACCACATATAAATAAATAAATAAAGGTCCATTGACAAATATATGTATTCATATAAAATTTTTTAAAAAAAGAATTTGTTAAGGGATGAGGTTGTAGCTCAGTGGTAGAGTGCTAGCCTAGCATGTGTGAGGCACTGGGTTCGATCCTCGGCACCATATAACAATAAATTAATTAAAGGTATTGTGTCCATCTACAACTAAAAAAAATGTCTTAAAATAAAAGAATTTGTTAAAATTCTGGCTGCTAGTATGGCAATATGTAAAAACGTGGATATGTAACCGATGTGATTCTGCAATCTGTATTTGGGGTAAAAATGGAAGTTCATAACCCACTTGAATCAAATGTATGAAATATGATATGTCAAGAGCTTTGTAATGTTTTGAACAACCAATAATTAAAAAAGAAAAAAGAAAAAACATATTCAACAAAAAATTGCAAATTAGTAAGAGAAAAAAACAAAAAAACAAAACAAAACAAAAATTCTGGCTGCTTTCTTCTTACTTGCTTCTGTGGAGGTCACCTCTTCCTCCCATATTCTGTCACAGATGAAACCATTTGTGTGGCCTGACTCTCCTTGGAAGAGCTTCTTGCTTTTTAGAGTTATAGGATGAGAAATCAATGTATTCTTTTCTTTTTTTCCATGCTTCAGATTGGACCCAGGGCCTCACAAGCTAGGAGATATATCCCTAGCCCTGGCAGCATATTCTTGTTTCTCTTTGTGCCCCACAGGGACACAGAACTTTCCTAAAGCCTGCTTTCTAACTCCCCAGCCCCCTGCTGCCCCCCAAGGTCTTGTTTACACTTCACCATGTAAGAGAGGAAGTGGTTATGTCTCCTTCCTAGAGCCTGCCAATCAAAAACAGGCGCCCAGGGAAATCAGATGTGCCCAGTCAGAGCAATGAGAATCTAGGATTCCCCCAGGCAGAAAGTCATTTCTTGTGCCAGTTTCCTGCTTGAGAAATGAGTGTGGACCCCTCCTGTGCTGCCCCTCTGGGGTATCGGGGACACCAAGCAGCTRTGGAGCCATTCCTTTTCCAGAACTTCACCTCAAGTGCCTCCCCTGCCAAGAGATCCCCGTGTTTCCGCATGTCCTCGAGCCATCCTGGGGTGCAGGAGCAGGTGCTTTCCCCAGCCTGGACCTGAGAGAAGGGAGGAGCCTGGAAGGGAAGGGTGGGATCAGGTGGCCCTGCCAGTCCCGCACCCAGACTCTCTGACTCCAGCACAGCCCAACTGCTGTGCTGTGTGCTGGTGCTCAGGTCTCCTGGGCCAAAACAAAAAAGTCTCCACAGTCATTTGTTCAGGGTTTAAGTGATTCATTTTGTGATTTGATCCTGAAACCTGAGAAGGTCTGGCTTTAGAGATAAAACAGTCCCCAAATGGGTCACATTGCTTAGGAAGAGTTCTGTTTGTGCCAGCTTTGGAGAGCGAGTCCGGTAGCCAAGACCCAGACCCAGGCCTGCTGTCTCCTTGTCTTCTGCAGCTCTGGTTGGCGCCTGCGGTGGGAACTATTCAGCCATGACATCCGTGGTCTATTCCCCGGATTTTCCCGACACTTACGCCACAGGACGAGTCTGCTACTGGACCATTCGGGTTCCGGGAGCCTCCCACATCCACTTCAACTTCACCTTATTTGACATCAGGGATTCTGCAGACATGGTAGAGCTGCTGGATGGCTACACCCACCACGTCCTGGTCCGTTTCAATGGAAGGAACCGCCCACCTTCGTCCTTTAATGTCTCTCTGGATTTTGTCATTTTATATTTCTTCTCCGATCGCATCAATCAGGCCCAGGGATTTGCTGTCTTATACCAAGGTGAGACACCCTCAGCCTGTGTGCCTCAGGCTTGTTTTCCCACGAGGGTGACTTTCTAACCAAGTGGTTCTCATCAGTTGGACAGGAGCTACTGACTCCACCCCAGATTACCCCAGCACTATACCCCCTCCCCCCTCCCCACCTCCCATTGCACAACTTGATAATGTTTCAGTTTTGCATTTTAGTAGCTTTAATGACAGTTTTTGTGGAAGGGCTAAAAGGATAATGAAAAGAAAGAGCTGAGATTGGTAGAATTGAGAAACTTGCAAGAGGTCACTCAGTCCATCCTCCTGCCTCTAAACTTCCCAGCCAGTCCCAAAGACTGGTTGATCAGCTTTCTTTAAGCCCTTCTAAAGTGGAGATGTCCCCTGTGGCCCTCTGGTGTGAATATATGTATGCTAGATGTGACTCTTTACCAACAGCTGAGAAACATGGAAGGTGTGAGATAGGAAGAAAGAGGGTCTTCCAGGCAAAGGGAGACCTGGCTGCCAAGCACAGGGTTGGGAAACAAGAAATCATCTAGATTCTTCCCTCTGCCTCTTGCAGGCCCACAGCCAGAGCCTCACGGTTTTGCTTTGGGAGCAGCAGGACCAGTGGAAGGAACCCTACCCAGAGCAAAAGACCTTCTCTTTATAACTAAGGCTTCCTCCTTCGCCTTCTGCTTCCTGTTGTGTCCATCAGCTTTCCCCCATAAGCCCTTTTGATCTTCCAGCTGTCAAGGAAGAACTGCCACAGGAGAGACCCACTGTCACCCAGACCCTGGCCCAGGAGATCACCGAGCAGGCCAACCTCAGCATCAGTGCTGCACGCTCCTCCAAAGTCCTCTACGTCATCACCACCAGCCCCAGCCACCCGCCGCAGACCGTCCCAGGTAGCAGTTCCTGGGCACCATCAGTAGGGGCTGGCAGCCACAGAGTTGAAGGTAGTGCTCTTGGCAGTTACAGAAACAAAAGAGCTCTTGGGTGTTTCTCATTCAGAGGCAGGTTGGGGTATAGCCTTTGTGACCTCTGCTTTGTCCTGGCCTTGGAGATAAATGTTCTCATTAGCAGTTCCTTTGTCCCTAGGAAAACTCGCTGACTTCCAAAGATACAGTCTAGTGCCTTTTGTACATTGTGATTCCTTAGCTAATTGTGTCTTAATAAATCATAGATAATCATAGATTAATCTTTGTAGAGCCCCAGGTTGTAATTCCAATGGCATTTGCAAGAGCTTCATTCATTCATGCATTCCAAAGATCTACAGGGTCTGGGGATGTAGCTCATCAGAAGAGCACGTCCCCAGGTGTGGGGCCCTGGGTTCGATCCCTAGTACCAAAATAGAGGGATAAAGACACATGTGGGGCTTGGCGTGTAGCTCATTGGTATAGCAGGTACTTAGCATGAACAAGGTCCTGGGTTCAATCCCTGACACCAGAAAAAAGCCAAACGATAAATGAGTGCTTCTGTGGGGGCCAGGCCCTGTCCTAGGAACTAGACTGTCCACTGAACCAAATAAATCCCTGCCGTCCTGTGACCTCTGGGTGGGAAGAAAAAGACAAGAAGCAAAATTAAAAACCTGATCATGTTAAGAGCTGTGTCATGTAGGAGAGGGATGGAGTGGTCTTTAGTTCTTCAGCTAACTTGGCTGGGTGCGTACATGCCTGGTCCCATTTTCTGCGACAGAACTAGCACCTATATGAACTGCTAGAGCTGGAGAGGACTGTTGGTGCTGGCAGCCTAGAGGTTCTCACGTTTCTCCCCTGTGCCTGACAGGACCCACCATGGAAGGTCAGGGAGGAGGCCTCTGCTATGCTCATTCCTTGTCATTTGGTGGTGGATTTCATAGATCACACACCTCGTTGCCTGAATGAGAAAACTGAGGCTCAGAGACTTGATGTAACTCGGTGGCACAGTGACTCCTGTGGTAGAGACAGAATGTACCCACCCTCTGACTCTGAGTCCAGTGTGCTTTGTATCATACCGAACAGGGCAAGGTACTGAGAAAGCTGGGGTCCATGCTCAGCCCAGCTTACAGCTGCCTGCTGCTGCCCGCCCCCCATCTGCCATGGGGGCTCCTTTTGGATCTGCACCCCCAAGCTGCAGACCTCCTTTGGACCTTGAAGCACAAACATGTTCAGTGGACCCTTGTCTTTTGCACTTGTAGGATGGACAGTGTACGGCCTGGCGACCCTCCTCATCCTCACGGTCACAGCCATTGTTGCAAAGATACTTCTTCATGTCACGTTCAAGTGAGTACAAGAGATTGCTGCCCGTTCCAGGAAGGGGAAGCCTCATAATGCCTTTTCTTCTGGGCTTCGTTTGTCTGGGTGCAGTTGTCACTTCAGAACACGATTCCAAAGTCCTGAGTCCTAGACATTCCTCCTCCTCCTCAGAGTGAAAAGTACAACTGGACAAATCTCACTAAGTAAGGTTTGAGGGACGGAGGGATCGAGTTTGCTCCTGTGTCCATGGGATACAGTTTCAGTGGCATAAACAGCAATAATTTCCATTTTTTGGCATGTGCTGGTTCTTTATCGTGATATTTATGCAAGACTAAAGATTCCTAGGAAATACCACACATACTTCCTGATGTCTCCTGGAAATTGGGAGACAATCTTAGGAAGAGAATTCTAACGTTTTATTAACTATTTCTTAATAATTACCTTAAAACAATTATTTGAAGGCTGGGGATGTGGCTCAATCGGTAGCACGCTCACCTGGTATGCGCAGGGCGCTGGGTTCAATCCTTAGCACCATATAAAAATAAAAATAAAGATGTTGTGTCCACCGAAAACTAAAAAAATAAATATTAAAAAAATTCTCTCTCTTTCTCTAAAAAAAAAAATTATTTGAGAAGCTTAGAAGCATTATCCTTCAATTCTGACCAATTGGGGCAGAAAGTTTTTCTTCCCTTATTTTGCTGCTCAGGTTTAACAGTTCCACCTTCCAGGAAGGGGGCAATTGTGGGTGCCATTGATGTTTGTGACTTACAGAGACGAGTTCTAATTTGTTCTAGGCCTTGACTACCTTCTTTTAGTTCCTAGTCCAGCTCTTCCCATTACAAGGTCTTCCGGAACATTGATGTCCAGTGAAAGCCCCTTTTGGGGGGACCGTCTCACTTGCCCTCTGCCACAGACTTTTTTTTTAATATTTATTTTTTAGTTATAGGTGGACACAATATCTTTATTTTATTTTTATGTGGTGCTGAGGGATTGAACCCAGTGCCTCACGTATGCTAGGTAAGTGCTTTACCTCTGAGCCACAATCCCAGCCCTTTTTTTTTAAAGAATGATTTTTTTTTTAGATGTCAATGGGCCTTTATTTTRCTTGTTTATATGTGGTGCTGAGATTCGAACCCAGGGCCTCACACATGCCAGACAAGCATTCTTCTGCTGAGCTACAACCGCAGCCCATGCCACAGACTTTTTATACATTGAACACAGCCTCCTCTGTTGTCTTGTAAAGGCCACCTTTGGTCACTCTGGGATGACCTTACCTAGACATCTTCACCAGAGACTTGACATTTTTCAGTAGAAATAATGACCTTATTGTTTACTAATCTCACTCTCATCTCTTTTACACACACACACACACACACACACACACACACACACACACACAGTTGTCCTTCAAAATCCTTGGATGCTCAAATCCCTTATATAAAACAACAAGGTATTTGAATATAACATGCACATTGCCCTATGTACTGTATGCGTATAATATGTAATATAAATGCTATGTAAATAGTTGTTACACTGCATTGTTTAGGAAATAAATAATGGGAAAATAAGGAAAAGCATCTGTACATCTTCAGAATAGTTTCTTTTTCCAACTATTTTCATGTGTAGTTGGTTGAATCCACAGTTGCAGAACCTGTGRGTTTGGAGAGCCAACTGTATACATAGGTTTTAAAGGTCAAAATTCCCATATTCTGGGGAAGCCCCTCAGGCCTAGTTCTGTCTTTGTGTCCCCTGCAGCAGCAAGAGAGCAGGATACTTCCTGTAGGGTCAGGTGTCTCACAGCGTGACTGAGGCCCTAAAGTATGTACCTAAGTCCCCTCTGTTGGAGACCTTCTGAGCTGCCCTGCCCAGTGACCTTGGGGACTGACATCTGGAGTGTGCTGGGGCTGGAGCTGAAGGTGAGGGAAGATACTGCTTCAGGCAGAGGAGTTTTGCTCTTGCCCTGTTTTAGATGGGTGAGCTTCCATTCAATAGCATTTGGGACAGAGTTCTTTAATTTAAAAAGAATAATTTGAAAATTCATACTCTCCCAGGCCACCCTTTTCCAGATTTGAAGAACTCTGCCAGTCAGAAAGTCTCTTCTTGTGCTGAGAAGGACTCTGCCCTGCTGCCCTTGCCTGCTGTCCGCCGGCTGCATGTCATCCACACAGTAGTCCTTCAGATATTTAAAGCTGGCCCTTAGGTCCTTCCTGGAACCCCAACCCACTGTGCATCCCGTTTCTTAGGACAGGTGTCTCATGAGATGGCAGATTGTTTGGGGGCTCTCTTCTGATCTACTTGAACTTTGTGGTTTTTGTTTGGCAGATCCCACCGTGTTCCTGCTTCAGGGGACCTCAGGGATTGCCACCAACCAGGGACTTCAGGGGAAATCTGGAGCATATTTTATAAACCTTCTACTTCAATTTCCATCTTTAAGAAGAAGCTCAAGGGTCAGAGTCAACAAGATGACCGCAATCCCCTTGTGAGTGACTAAAACCGCACTTCCCAGAACTCGAGGTCCCTCTTGGGGCTCAAGGTTGTCGGGGTCGACCTCCCCTGTGGTTCTCTGACTGACTCTTCCCTGCCTCCCCTCCACCTCAGCCTTTTGGGGTACCCTTCAACACATTGAGAAGGGGCGCCAAGCTGCAGGGTGAGCCTAGCCCACTGCTCCTGCTTCACCAGCTGCGTGTAGGAGAGAGACCCAAGGGCTCAGGGCCAGGCCCTCCCTGCGCGTCTCTCTGGTCTAGCAACTGGGGGTGTCAGGACCGGGCTGAGATGACAGAGATGGCCACGCTGACACTGGGCTCAGGTTCATTCTAGATGACTGTTGGGTGATGGGTAGGTTTAGCATATGTTGAGTTTTTCTTGCTTCTTTATTTTGTCCACACCCAGATCAGTTTCCCCTGGTCTTCACAGTTTGGCACAGGACCAGACTGGGAGAATTCTCAGGTTCTTTTGAGGGCTGGCCTGGTCATGTACAAGCGTGGACTCCTGGGCATTAGCACCTGCCAAAATGTAAAGGGAGTCGGTGCTCCATACTTGCGCTGGAGGTTTGCTCTCTGGGTGCTAGGCTAGGGTGGCCTGGGAAGGCCTGAGAGAGGGTCTAGGACCCCCATTCATGTCTTCCACACACAGGCTTCTCTCTAGAGGTTTTTTCCAATAGCTCACTGACCTATAAAACGTCCACTCATTCTCACGCCTCAGACTCTGCTGGGAGCGTCCTGGGCCCTCAGTACTTATGGATTGGATTTGTCTGCCTGGCTCCCTAGCTGCCCTGGGTCCTGTGGAACCCACTCCAGGCCATTTTCTCCGCTCTCAGCCAACTCTCAGTTCAGAACAGGGAGTATAAAGACTGGCCCAGCCTCTGGGCAGCGTTGAGTGAGAACTGGGCTGACAGTGCCTGCTGCAGTGTCTCTCCTTGTGAAAGAAGGTTAAATAGATATATACCCTGAGGGCTGTGTGCTCTGCCCCTTCTTATGGGGACTGGGAGGCCTCAGGAGTGACTCTGTGGTGCAGAAGAAGGTTCTCATCCCTGGCAACAGGCCACCTTGTCCCTCACACAGGGAGGCAACTGCGGAGATTGGTGAGGGGAAGGGAAAGTTTGGGACTGGAGGTCCTTGGAGGATAGGCCCCGAGACTGAGATCTCCAGCTGTAGCAGTGCTGGCCGAGAGAGAAGGCATCTTCAGAAGTCCCCGCTATCCGGAAGCTGGCTTTGCCCACAGCAGCTGGAAGAGTAGCCTATGCCCTGAAGGGCCGTTGTCAAGAGTATGGCTGTCCTGTGGGCACTCCATCTGAGTGCTTGCTGTGTTTCTGGCTTCCTGGGTGCCCTCCTGGGCACTGTGCCTACCTCCCCCACATCCCCAGGCCACTGCCTGCTCTGGCTGACCTGGGATTCCCACAGCCCATTGAACCCAGCTGCTCCTGGGAGAATGGAAGGTTGAATGGGGCCAGCTGAGAAGTGTCTGCAGGGAGAGAGGACATTCGGCAGTGCCAGGCTGGGGGTGCTCAGAACCAGCAGTTGGGGCAGTAAGAGGGAGGTGGGCAGTGTGTCCACAGGCAGGCAGGGTGCTACCCCAGCAGCCGAGATGCAGTGTGCTGAGAGCCCCCGCCGCTCGCGGCCGTCTCCGCTGTCTGGAGGAAGGGCGACTATGCCAGAGCAGCTGTCCGCAGGCCCCTGGGCCTAGAGACAGGCCTTCACTCCGAGTATCACTGGAAATAGACTGCCCGGCCTCTCTGCTCCTCTCTATTCATGGCTTTTGTGGAATCTCCTGTCAAACACAAGCGCCAGATGTGTGCGCTCACCCAGGGCCCCGTGCTGTGAACAGACCCGCGCACAGCATGACGGGAATGTAGAGCCCAGGAAGGGCTCTCCTGGCCAGAGGCATTTCTAACTGCCCTAGCTAATGCTGGTCACTGGGCTTGGCCTCCTGGAAGCCACCCCCCATCTGCCTCCTCACCCTCCACATCTCAGGATGCCAGGCCCTAGCCAGCACGTTATCTGAGCTGTGGCCCCAGCAGCCCCTCTCTAGAGACCCCAGGAAGGGCAGCAGTGCCCCGGGTGCCTCCTCTGGGTGGCCTGAAACAGCCCATACCTCCAGATCCCCTTCCTCTCCAGGAAGCAGCCCTGGAAACCCAGCCGCACCTCACCATAGCTTGGGGGCAGGGCTGTGAACCGTCCCAGGCCAAAGCTCCATAAACATCCGACTGTGGCCTTAGAACCTGTCAGCAGCATTCCCCAGAAGGCCCCTAGAGCCACGCAAACACCCAGGAAGTAAATGACCCCAGAGGAGGTGAGGTGGGCGTCCAGGAACACGCACTGTGGGAGGAAATGAAATGCCTTGAGAAACGCCTGGAGCTGAGAGGAGAGTTAGGAGGTGACTGGAAAAGGGCGACCCTGAGGCTCCTCCGACGACACAGCGGAAGGCTCTGAAAGAGGCAGGATTGTGCCCTGAAAGCACAGGAGGGGACAGAGCGTCGGCCTGTGAGCCTTCTCAGCCCTGGGCACTGCTGGCACCCAGGGCTGCCTTCTCAACATGTGCACCCACAGAGGGCCCTCACTAGCCAAGCGTTCCACCTCCTGGGTGACTGCACCTCAGCCCTCTGGGGACCAGCTGCCTGGTGTCCAGCAGTGTCTCACAGTGTCCTTTGCCCTGGGAGAAGGCAGCAGGAGGCACAGGGTGCACTCTGTTCTTCCCCATCTGTTCAGTCACTTGCAAAGCAGAGAATAAATAGGAGTGAACCCCCTGCCTGTGTCCATGTTGGCAAGGACRGGTGAGGCTTCTTGGGCATGAGTAAGGTGACCGGGCGGGCGTGCTGACTTCTTCAGTGTGGATTCTGGCTCCAGACTCCGGTCAGCCCCAAGTCCACAGAGATCAAAGCACTTGCAAGTACAGCTGTCCTGGCCCTCAGGTTGAACCCCGTGGTGTGCCTGGGCCCSGAGCCAGCCTCACACCCATTGTCGGCCCAGGCAGGAGTCTGCCTGACCCCACTCAGGATCCAGATTCAGCCGCTGGGCAGACACGAGGGCACGCAGCATTGCCTGACCGCCACAGGCACCGTGCACTTAGTCTTCACCAAGCACTTAGCAGAGATGGCCTCCAAGACCCGGCCTTCCTGTCAGCTGAGGCCAGGCSGGGTCTCCCCAGTGACCACCCCGCCTCCATATCCGGGCACCTGGCTCTCCTTGGGTCCCGGTCTCCTGGGGGGCGTTGGCYGTCTGCTTTGTTACTGCCTGGGTTCCGCCTTTCCATTGTTTCCTCTGTGTCTTTGTTTACCCTCCTCACTGTCTACCTCCTGGCCAGGTCTCAGCTTAGCTGCCCTGGTTTGGGGTGTTTTCCAAACCTCCAGCCACAGAGGCTCCCCTCAGACTGGACAGCTGGGGAGACAGGGCTTCCCCTCTGCCCGCAGGCCCCTGGCGCCACCGCCCGGGCTCCTGTCTCCGCAGCTGGAGCCGAGCACTGGCTGGACAGAGAGGACAGGCAGAGGCGGCTCCTGCTTCACAGGGGAGGTCCCTAGGCGCACCTGGAGGCCCTCCTGCCTGCGCAGGGACCCCAGGGGGTTCTCACCGCACCAAGACCCTCCACATCCAAACTCACCCCCAGCAGGGACTTTGACTTTGGATGACAAGGCTTTATTTGTAAATATTCTCTTAATATGCAACTTTGAGAACAAAATAGAAACATCATGTATTTTAAAATATAAAATGAAGTGTGACGCACTGTATACAATTTAATATATATTTTTAGGATTTTGTTATTTAAGAAAATGGAATGTAATGGTACTTAACTTTTACAAAAGAGAGAAAAAAATGTTATTTTTACTGTCTGAAGAAAATAAATATTCTCATGGTTGTAGAAACAGTGGTGGGCCCTGGGCTGTCATTTCTCTGGGTGCTCCTCCAGATGACCTACAGGAAGGTGTGACTGTGGGATTCTCAAGTCTTCTCGGTCGACAGTCTGCCCCGTTGGCTGGCTCTCTCCTGGTGCCGTCTTGAAATTTCCTCTGGTCTTGTCACAGCTTTGACTACTGTTGATCTTCAGCCAGGAGGGTCTGAAAGGCAGGACTTCTAGATGGCTGTGCTGCTCCGGGGTTAGGGAGGAGCACCAAGCTCTGACCAGCGACCGGGACCTCGGCGCACACGGCCACCCTCAGTTGGACCCTATTCTTTAATATCAGTAGGAGCGCCAGGTGAGCGCCAGGCTCTCCCGCAAGGTGCCATCGTATCCAGACATTCCTTTACAGCAGGCACGTTGTCCCTGTTTTGCTGATGAGGGAGCTGATGAATGACACAGCGAGGGACAGTGGCTGAGAGTGCAGCCTTGGAGGGAGCCTGCGGGGTCATGTCCTCCCGCCATCAGATGGAGGCCAGTGAGATCAAAACAGGAGGGCACCGAGGGCTCCAGTGCAGGAGCTACATCAGGTTCCCAAGGTAGAGATTTCCTCCTTGCCTTTTGGAAAACMAGACGGGGTAGGACGGGGGCGAGGAGGCCGATCGGGGGGTCTCGCGGGTACACAGGCCCGTGAGAGCAACAGAGAGAAAGGTGGGCCGCACCAGGCCAGGGCCTCAAGGCTCAGGCCCACACCCCACTCATCACTGAAGGTGTGACCCTGACCATTAACCTGCCAGGTGTGCCCTCCCTGGGAGCCGCCAGGTGATCCCCAGACTTGCAGTCTGACCACCAGTCCACTTCGAGTGTGCACACGACACTGTGCAGAGCCCCACCGCTGCCTCCTTCATTGACACAGGTGTGTCTGTCACTCAGGCAAACACTGCGTCAGCCAGGGATGCATCACGGTGCGGAGAGGTGTGTGACAGGGGTGTAGGTGCAAGCCAGTCATTCCCAGATGCTTCTCCACAAGGGGCATCGCCCCTTGGCTTGGCTTTTTTTTTTTTTTTTTTTTTTAAAATTTTTTTTTTTTTTTTTTTTTTTAAACATTTTATTTATTATTTTTTTTTGAGAGAGAGAGAGAGAATTTTTTTAAGATATTTTATTTTTTAGTTATTGGCGGACACAACATCTTTGTTTGTATGTGGTGCTGAGGATCGAACCCGGGCCGCACGCATGCCAGGTGAGCGCGCTACCGCTGAGCCACATCCCCAGCCCCTTGGCTTGGCGTTTGTACCCTTCCTTCGCCATTGTCCTCCCATTAGATCATGGGACAACTCCTGTCCCAGCCCTGACACTGCTGCTGCCCTGCAGTGTGACGGCACCTTTAAAGACAGCTTCGCCTGACTGTTTATCTTCTCTGAACTTTCCTTCTCTTCCCAGAAGCTCTTTCCTTCCATGAAGGAAAATATTTTTCATGGCAGGAAATGACTGGTGGAAAACAAACGGGGTGGCCTCGCTGGTGAGTTTCTTAGAGACAACATTGGGCAGCAACAGAAAAATAAATAAACGCGACTAGAATGTGCAACTGTCCTGCCTGAGAGCCCCATTAGATCATGGGACCACAGGGCCTGGAAGAGACCCCTAGACCCATTTGAGTGGACTCTGGGGACACTGATCTTAACTTCACGTTGCCACCACCCCTCCTCTCACACCACCCTGGGGACCAACGGGGCAGCACCAGCTTCGTCCTTTGTCAGGCAGTCGAAGGCGCTCCATCCTGTGCAGAGGAAAAGGGCTGGACAAAGGTGACATTGCTTTGAGCTTGGAGGTCACATGACCATCTCTTCTCCCCACTAGGTCTGTGAAACTGCGGACAGCCTCCAAGACACAGAACTGGGGAGCTTTTGTTCCTCCATAGTGGGGTTGGGTCCCCACAGGGGATTGTTTTTGCTCAGCCGAAAGGGACACTTTGGAGATAGACTATTTCGACCTCAAGAAGCAACAACATCTGTCTGTAGCTGGTCTCCAGCTGTTGTCTGGAGCCACCAGGCCCCACTGAATGGACCTATGCCCGGCCACTGGGGGTAGGCAGTGCCAGGTTGGGCTGGATGTGGACCAGCCTGTGTTCAGGAGGTCCATCTCTATGACAACCCCACTGCAGGGATGTCCTGCGCCCTCTCCGTGGTGGTGGCTGAACCTGTGAGCTCTGGGCACCTGGGCTGGGGAACTGGGCATCTTAGGGGGAAATCTTAGGTCCTCATTCCTCAGAAGAAAACAGAAAAGTCTGAAACTGAACAGGCTTTTGCAATAGTGAAACTGCAAATTCCATTTATTTCACAATTAGGAGCATCTACCCTGCATTTGTCCCTGCCCAAATGAAGCCACTGAACTTATAAAAACATAATTGGGGAGCTGGGCATGATGGCACAGGCCTGTGATCCCAGTAACTCAGGAGACTGAGGCAGGAGGATCGCAAGTTCAAGACCAACCTCAGCAATTTAGCAAGGCCCTAAGGACTTGAGGTGGGATCCTGCCTCAAAATTTATAAAAGGGCTGGGAATGTGGCTCAGTGGTTAAGTAACCCTGGGTTTAATCTCTAGTACCAATAAACAAATAAATAAAACCTACACCTCTTCACCTATTTGAGTATACATACTCCTTTGAGGATCAGATGCAGGTCTGCAGTCCCTTCTTCTAAAAAGATCCCCCACCCCCACAAAACTTCCCATGACAGTTCTGGTGACCCAAAGATCCCCCAGATTTGGGATCTCTCCATTAAGCCACAAACATGGTTATTTGAAGGTTAAAACCAAGGCCAGAATTGGTAATAACAGTTAGAAGGCTGAGGCAGGAGGACCACGAGTTCAAAGCCAGCCTCAGCAACTCAGCGAGGCCCCAAGCAACTCAAGAGAGACCCCGTCTGTAAATAAGTTTTTAAAAGGGCTGGGGATGTGGCTCAGTGGCGAATCATCCTGGGTTCAATCCCTAGTATCTTCTTTTTTTTCAAAAAAAAAAAAAAAATGAGGGGGGGTGTAACAACAACAGTAACCATGGATACATTTTTTTAAAATATTTTTTTAGTTGTAGTTGGGCACAATACCTTTACTTATTTTTATGTGGTACTCAGGATAGAGCCCAGGGCCTCACACGTGCAAGGTGCACACTGCCGCTGAGCCACAACCCCAGCCCAACCACGGATACATTTTACTGACCACTTATTAGCATTTATGCCAGGATTTGGCAAACTTTTTTCTGTACAAGCCTAAATTCTAAATATTTTAGTATTTAACATTTTAGACTTTGCAGGCCCTCTCGTCCCTATCACTACTAAACTCTGGCAAGGGAGACTGTTCTCTGGGACCCTACGCCGTCACCACATGCCAAGCAGCCATGAAGGCAGCTCCATGAGGAGTGGAAGGTGACCCCGGCCCCTTTGTTATTAGTCACGTAGCTGTGTAAACAAGTGAGCACAGTTGTGTTCCAGTAAAACTTGGACGTGGAAACTTGAATTTTACATAACTTGCACATGTCACAAAAGACTATTCTTTTTAGTTTGTATTTTTCTCTAACAATTAAAAAATATGAGCGCCATTCTGAGCTCAAGGACCATAAGAAACAGGAGGCAAGCCCACAGGCCATCTTGGTTTTTGGGTTTGATTGTTTGTTGGTACTGGGGATTGAACCCAGGGGCACTTAACACTGAGCCCCATCCACAGTCCTATTTTGTATTTTATTTAGAGACAGGGTCTCACTGAGTTGCTTAGGGCCTTGCTAAGTTGATGAGGTTGGTTTTGAACCTGCGATCCTCCTGCCTCAGCCTCCAGAGCCTCTGGGTTGACAGGCCTGAGCCACCGCGCCCAGGCCATTTTTCACATGTTATCTTATTTAATTCTCACAGCAACTGTGTGGATTTGGCAGTTTTTAATCCCCCTTTGTCAGGTGAGTTGAATGAGGCTCAGAGAGGTTAATAACTCACTCATGAAGCACAGGAGTCAAGACTAGCACCCACCTTCAAGCCTGTTTGTTCTCCTGAGAGACAACATGGGTGAATTTGTATTGTGGAGAAAGGGAAGAAAAGACAGTGGGGGACCCTGGTGCCTTGGCCCTGGGAGTGGCCTTGGCCCTGGGAGTGTGGGGACAGTACTCCTCCTCCTCCTCCTCCACTCTGCCAGAAGGGTCTGCACAGCAGGGAGGCAGCTGGTTTCCTGAGCTAGTCCTTGGCTCCCCTGCAGAGGCTTCAAGGACACAGCCTCAGATCCAGGACAGCTGGCAGCCTCCACATTGTTCTGCGTCTCCCAGGTGCTCTTAATTATAACCAGTTTGCCACCCTCAGCAATTCCTTGTTCCCCTTTGCTAATACCCATGAGTTGGAACCGTCCCCGGACTCCCAGCCAAACACTGGGCTGAAATCACTTCCCTTTCCCATGTAGAGAATCCTCCAGTCTCTTAGGGACTTGCTCTTCTCAGCGAGGTGGGCATTCTACTTGGCTGGGATTTGCCACCTGAGTCTCCGAGGGGGAGGCGGACCCTGCTTAACTTCTCCAACCCTGGCTGACTGGCAGAGGCCTGTGGTTCTTCTTGGGTGCTCTTCTGGCTTCACCCCAGTCTTCCCAATGTGCAGCCTGGGCCTGAGGCTGTGGAACTTTCCATCCCAGGAGCAGACTTCCAGCTTGACTGGGTATTATTGGAGGCCGAAGTTTCTGGAAGCTGGGATTGAGGGTAGTGGCCTCATGTGGGGAGGGAGGACAGGGCTTCATGTCACACCCTGTGTACATAACCTTGACCAAGTGACTTGGCCCTTAGAGAACCATTAAGGACTGGGAGCTCTGGACCACGGAAACCTGGGCTCAGTCTGGGCTTTTCCATCTCTACC